ATACAAGCCAAAATGTTCTTTTGTTTGATTTTAAGTGCATCAAGTCGCACTACTTTGCCAAAGCCCATCTTTTGACACAACTTCTACCCAAGAACTTTTAATTTCTAAAATGTCAACAGGTATGTATAAACCTTAATACAGGTCTACATATAAACACACTGAACACAATATCTCGTCACTGGTGAAGTTTATTTATACATTAAACTTGTAACTTCCACCACAAAAAACACATCAGGTCTTGATGTTGAACTCCGATGATTACTGTGAAAAGAAACAAAAGAATTATTAGTAAGAGAAGAGGATTTATCCAACATAGAAAAACCCACAAAACAAATTACTGTAAAATCTGTATTAAAAGCCACGGCTTCTATAAAATGGTACAATGCAACAGAGGGGATGCGGCTTATATTAGAGCATGTACACATATGAGAAATGGTGAATTTTTAGGTCTCAATTGTTCAAAACGAATGGGTGCAGCTTCTATTAGGGATGTGGCTTCTAATACAGATTTTTCGGTACACCCTGAAATGACAAATGCCACCCCCCCCCCCCAAGGCACTTTTTTTCAATATTTTGGCAGAAACCAGAAAAGTCATAAGCTTCAGAACAGTACATTAAGTCTAATATAAGCATAGGAAGACTGTCACTTTTTAGTGGTACTTTACTTGGGCCATCACTTGGGGATGCTATAGTAAAAGTAGTGCTCAAAGTCGCGTCATTGATAAAGCATGTTTCAATGTGCAAGTCAGCTAATTTATTAAACAGGAAATGTACCTTTCTTGCCGACACCAACTTTAGCTTTGGCTGTACCACGTTCTTTCTTTTGTCTGTTTTTCTTTTCCTTCCTCTGTTTCCTAGATGGCCTCTTTTTTTCATAAAGTCCATGCTATGAGATGAAAGTCATTAAAAGGTAAGTACATTGTACATCAAGTAATGTCTTGATTCTGAAGGATAACATAATTCAGTCATCTTCCAATTTGGACAAATTCAAGCATCTACACTCATACTCTACCAGAGGCTTCTGTAATAAATCTAAGACTTGTACATGGCATGTGCAAGTGGTCACCTCACTGGCCACAATCCCAGACACGGTTCAAACTTGCATGTACATTGGGTAAAACTGCCAATAGCTTTTGTAATGAATCTATGCCACTCCTACACAGACCATGTGTCAGCTGTTACCCCCTCTGACTACAATCTCAGTCAAGGTTCAAACTCGCATGTGATCATTACGCAGACGATAATGGCAACATGACTAAAAACCTCAGTGTTTTGCCACAATAATGCTATTTAAGTGTTAACAGTGCAAGATATATACCGCACATGCCCGATCATAAGCCCCTCCCCGAGTATATGCCCACCCCTCTATTTTTAACATTTAACGAGTTGAGTCCATCTGCAATTATAAGCCCAGGGTGTTTTTACCGGGCATCTAAGACATTCAGTGAAATATGCGTAATAAAACGCGCGTTTCATTGCATAATAATCATGATTGGTACGGTAGTTTGGTTCATGCTTTTATGAGAAAACTCGCATTAATTTCAGAGTGCATGACAAACGTACACAACATGGTTCGCATCCTTTCTATTTTGTTATTTACTCAGGATGAACCCCGATGTTATACAAAATACTGAAATAATCCATATTTCTTTCAGTAGTAGCTTTTGAAAAGCCAAAATGTGATCGTCAAGTCCTGAAACCTGGTTATTAGACATTGTTTTACTAAATAGTGTCCATTCAGACTATCATGAATATGGTGTGAACAATGTGACCTGTTGGCGACTATGAAAGGTGTTTAAATACTTCCTCCACACTCAGTTTACCTTCCGAAAATTGTGAATCTCCAGTTTTTAGGGAAAAAAAAAATTTTCGGCAAAATCAGTGGTAAAGATCGCATTTTAAAATTGCAGTAATTCACTTCTGCATTGCGCTGAAAAAAAATTCATAGCAATTGGGAAATTTCGTCAGTACGACGCAGCATTTTGATTGGTTAATGAAAGATGTCACCTGTTCAAACGACGTTCTTCAAGGTTAATTCAAGCTGAAAATTGTTTTGCATCAAGAGTTTGTGTAGGATCGAAAACATCCCAAAACAAAGATGAGAGCAGATTCATTGACGATACCCTATGACATCAACATCATATTTTGTTGTGGTGGTGGTGGTATAAAAATTGTAATAAAAAAAAAAGTTTAAACCACCGCATTATTTTTCAAATTTTCACTACGACAGGACAAGAAACAGAATCCGTTTTTTTGGCCTTAGGAGAACTCTATTAACAAATGGTACATACCCTTTGAAGCCTATGCTTTGGTTCGTATTTTTTCGCAAAGTCTAGTGTATCGTATACAAGTGCAAAGCCAGTGGTTTTTCCACCACCAAACTGAGTTTTGAAGCCAAAGCAGAAAATCACATCAGGGTGGTCTTGTACATCTTTGCAAGTTTCTCACGGATTTCTGTTTTTGGCACAGTGGCACGTCCTGGGTGCAAAACATCTACCACCTGAAAATATAGAAAATTAAATCTGTATAAATACTATGAAGCACAGAGATAAACAGCTAGGATTTATTTCATTTTTTTTTCTTACCTTTTGACAAGTTATCACAATCATGCATTTAATGCAGAATTGAGATTAAAAAAAAATTACAATTTTTTTAAACAGCAGAAAATATCCTTATGTACATGGCTAGTTTATGGGTGGTATTTACATTAGGACTTGTTGGCACCACAACGTGAACTGGAGTGCGACAAGGCCCCAATTTCACCCATTTACATTCACATACTTGTACACAGAGCTAACAAATTATATGAAATATAATGAATGAAATCTTACCATCTGCTTGCGACATAGCAATCGGTTCGTAAGAAACTTGCGTGTTCTGAGAGTGCACGTAGAGTCACCCTGTAAGAAAAAATTGAAATCATTTGCACTTGTCACTTCCACCAAGTAAGCCCAGTGGGCAACCAATTTGACTGCGAACTGCAATATTATTCTGCCAAACAGACCGACAAATTGTGGATATGTGACCGGTAAACGTTTTGACAATATTCAGCTCTCGCTAAGACGTATAAAATATACAACGGGACTAACACATGGTTATTGGACGCCTATGTTTTGAATATGGAGGCGGCCATCTTTCTATTAAATCGTGGAGACCAGGTCAGTTTTCGAGCGATTTTTTCCCTGTTTGGCATAGATAATTATGAAACTGAGCAGATAGACATAATAAATATCTATTTAACTGTGTTTTTATTTACAAATTTAAGACTGATGGTCGATTGAAATGGGTGATGCGGGGTGATGAAAATTATGCACTATACCAACCATGTTTGCTGATTGAACCCAGCCGAAAGAGAGCGAGAATGAGGTAATCTCGTTCACGGCTGACGAGAATGCGCGAGATTCAATATGGCGACCTACTGGTATTGTTCCGGGGCATTTTGTCAACACAGTGAAAATATTCTCAAAATTGCATAATTAACCGTTTAAGTGATTCACATATGGGTTTTAACAAGTACTGTTTCACACCCCAAGTTTTTTATCCGGCATGTGTTAGGATAATTTTTGCAAACCTGCTAGGCGACCATCGAATGCGTGAACCCGAAGTGCAAGTTATCAACAAGACTCGACGGACTTCATCTTTTCTCAACACATTTGACTCCGATCGTTTTACGATTGCTCGCTAATATTTTAAAATCGACCTACAATTAAATAATGAATGACGAGGAACCAAAGAGAAAACGGTTTAAGCGAAATAGTATTCTCGACGGTTTCCGAAAACAACGACAATTGTCTTTTGTCAGTCAAAGTGTGAAAGGAGTGAAGACTACGAAATCCGAAGATAAGCTGAAAACGAAAGTGCCGGGTAGGTTGTGTGTGAATCACTCTATTCAGGGCTCTCCGCTTGGAGTGAGTGAATAGAGAAATGTGAACACAATTTGCATGCATGAAGACATTTTTTTCATGGAATGTCTTAGAATAGATACCAAACAGAAAGACAAAAGTTATTTAATAATATCAATATTCCAGAAGAATTAAAAAGTGATGTCCAGATATTTATACATCAAGAAAAGACTTAATAACAAGACAAGCTGGTGAATACTTGTACAAAATATTTGAAATCAGAAATACCAATTGACATTTCACTATTATATGTATTGTACTTGTAATGTACTGTATGTATATTAGTTACTAAAAAACAGAAAGTCGATTTTACAAATTACAAAGAAAATTTTCATTTCTTAAAATCATAAAATGATAGAATTGTGAATAAAATCATGAGATAGCTTAATTTTATTTTTGTCACTACTTGTCATTAAAATATATAGTGTTGGTTTCTTTGGGGAATATAATATTGAAAAGAACCTCCTTCCAGTGGGTGTAATCCTTCGGTAAATTTTTCAGAAACAAAATGATACATATTGATTTAATAGGATATTCTTTCAGACCAAGTTGAAGATAACAACTCTGAAAAAGAGTTGTCAGATTGTCAAACTATCAAGGAAGTTCAAGTACAAGGCGTAGACGACATGGATGTGTCCCAACGAGAAATACTCGCAAATGCAGCTGAAGCAAGAAGGTGATTATTTTGCATGTACATGTCAAGCCTTTGAGTATGATATATTGTAAATAACAAATGTTAGTTTGGCAGTTTGTGGTTTTTGAATAACCTGTCATTCAGGTAAC